TTTATATTTTATCATTATCATTCGAGACTTAAATAAAAAGTAAAATCTGATTCATGAAAAATGGTGTCATATATTAAAGACTGCTTTATTACAGGGAAACAAAAATGCTGATTTGTGTAAAGTGCAGAAAACCAGTAAAAGAAGAGAGACACTGACCCAAGCCAATGCCACTGTTCTGCAGCAGGTAGCCCAGGTGGTCAAACATGGAACGCTGGTTCTGTCGGCTGATACGACAGAAGTAACACAGGAAGCGACAGCAATTGGTCACCATTTGAGGGAAACGAATCTCCTGTTGTAAAAAAGATAAAAGTTACATTTGTACATGTGCAGTGAAAGCTTTTGGTTGGTCCTGTAAATCCAATAAATTATTATAACTATTATTAAAATAAATGCAGATCAGCTGTCATTTAGTGCTATAAGAGTCTGCTCTTTATTTTCTTTTTACGACCGTAAATATTTAAAAATAAGACTCACCTTTGAGTCTCCTCCTCCACCTAAAACATTGACCATGACCTCCATGACAGTTTCATGCATACCAAGTGCTCGCATTAGGTTGGGGTGTTGGTAGAACACCTTGTTGTTCATGATGTTCCTGTAAGTTTTCAAAACAAGTCTCAATTACTTTAGGTAAAAAATGCTTTTTTCTAAAATTCAAAAATGTCTTACTTCTGAAATAGAGATATCTATGACAGTTCTTGAAGATAATGTAAGAAAATTGTAGCACTGATGAGCAACTTTGATTCAGTATTTTTTTTTCAATGTGTGATGCAGAGTTGGGCCAACACCAACCCAATGCTCTGGATCATGAGCCGCTCCTCCTCTGGACCCATCTGGACAATAAGCAGCGAACGTATCTGTCCCAAACATTCCAGTAGGTCCATCGTATCCTGGACAGACACCCCGTTGATGGCATAGGCTTTGGGCAGTGCACGGATCAGCTCGCCCAAGCCATCGTACTGCCTGTGGAGCAGGCTGAACATCATACGGACCAACTCTGGGTTCTGGATGAAAGACTCTTGAGCCCAGTGGATCATGGTGTGGGAGATCAGTTCCTGGAGAGTGCCTTAGTGAATAACAGAACAGAGGGAATAATCAGCTGAATTCTGACAGCAGTTTTTACCTGCTTGTTTTAAACACCTGCATGAAACAAAATCTACAAAGACATTAATAAAGCTGTGGCTGCTGATCTTACTGGGCTTTGGCTCCTCTTCAACCTCAGTCGGCTCCTCCTCTTTCTTTTTGCGCAAACTGTTGATCTTTTCCACCAAACTGAGGAGTCTGCCCCTCAGTGAGTTGTCTACCTCCTGCTCTTCTGCCTCCTCCTCAACATGTATACCTGCCATTATACAGTATGTCAATACAGTAAATGATAAATGTGCCAACGCAGAATCAGACTAGATGATATGATTGTATGATTATTTCTCACCACAGTGAAGCAGCAGATCATTGTGGAATTTAGCCAGAGAATCTCGTACCACCTCAGGTACTGGACACTCCTCGTCCTCTGCACCGTTTTTAAAGTGGGTCAGCAGAAGGACCTTGAAAAGATTTTTGTCACTAATTATATACTTTCTTAAGTAAAGAATTTACTTAAAGAATTTCATTCTTTTATTAAAAGTCAATACCTGGTCTTGGGGGGGAGAGCGAAACTCACGGGTTTTGCGTGCAGTTTCTGCAGCTGACATGGTGAAAGCTTTCATTAACAGGTTGTAACGAACTCGCTGGTTGCTTTGAATATTATTAACAAAATTATCTGAATAGGCCACGATTGCTTCAACTCTGTGTCGAAGCTCACAGTCACAAAAGTATTGCAGAAGAGTACACATCTGTGAAAGACAGCAGATAAGAACTTAGAACTTAGAATTTAGACAAATGAAATATGTAAGAATAAAACAGATGGCAATGTTTCATTTCGTTTTATAAAATCTCAAACCGACCTGCAGTTTGACAGATTCAGGAAGCTTCATCTGAAGTAATCCTTCGTCAAGACCCTCCACCTCTTTGGCCTCTGCCTCTATTGCTTCTGCTTCTTTTTCTTCTTCTGCTTTCTCTCCATCCACTTTTTCTGCTTTGGCCTGAGCCCCCCCCTCACCACCTTCCTCCCTATGTTCAGCCTGCTCCTCCTCTCCTTGCTCCAAAGCTTTGAGCTCTTCCTCTTCCTCACCAACCCCTTCATCTTCAAGCTCAGCCTCCTCCTCATCCCCCTCCTCGTCCTCATCTTTACCTTCCTCGCCCTCTTTTTCACCATCTTCTGCTTTCTCCTCCCCTTCTTCCTCCTGCTTTCCACTGAAAACATTGGGATCAATCATCTTGAGGATGTGTTTGGTGTCTTCATCATTGAAGATACCCATGATGAGCAAGGTACTGATTAGTTTGAGTATTGGGACAAAGTGAAACTCTACACTGCCCCCAACTGGGTCTCGCATGGCCTGGCTACCATCAAGGACCGCCTCTGTTAACATGCTTATGGCCCTGGTCTTCAGGTCCTGCAAAAGAAAGATTGATGTATTAATTAGTTCCTAAACATTCATATTATTTTAAATAAGTTAGATATTTCTGTTGCTTCTTACTTGCAGAGGGAAAACAGGACTTAGGGTGTACAGATCGGGATCTGTGCCAACAAAGTTAATTGACGAGAAATGCAGTTTAGGCCGTAAACAGGTGGTGAGGCCAACACCAGGGAGGGAGTAGGCATTTTTAGTATCAGGATAGAGGTGGATGCTGAGAGTTTCTTCAGTCATGGGGACAATGAACTCCTTGTTTGTTCCTAGTCGTACCCGTTTGGCAGATTCCAGGTGAATACTGATGAGCAAATCATAGTAGCCACTGCGGAGAGGTCCAGGCAGATAGGTGTTCTCAATGGCGTAGAAAAGCTGTGACTCATCCACGTGGCTGCACAAGGCATGAGCCACTCGGTTGTTGCCGAGTGCACACACAGCACAGTAGAGCATGAGTGTGTGGTAGTGGAATTTCATCAGATCCAGACGCTCTGACAGCTCGAGGATGTCAATACACCTGAGAAAAAAAAGCATGCATGCTCAATTAATTATATATTTTCACTTTGGTCATTTTGATTTACCAGATTCATATGTGCTTTTGAAAAATCAAAATCCACACACACAAAACATGCAGTGTTAAAAAAGTTAGGTATAAATAGTATCAGCTAGGTGGCGTCACTGTCATTCACCTGTTCTCCTCTGGGATGTGCAGAGCCATCATGATGAGAGGTTCTGTACACTCCACCATCCAGCCCATCCTCTCACTCACTTTGCCCACCTCTGGGTTGAGGAAGTGATTTGGCATACGACTCCAGATTACTGGGGTCAACATCTGGACGTCCAGCCTTGGAGGACATTGGGGGACTGGATTCTTACGTTCACTGCGGAACATGGCTGCTGAGATGGGCATGATATTCTGGGATAAGGGAGAAAAGATTCACACAGACAGTGAGATTGACTTCTCAGATTGGCTATGCAGCTGGAAGAGCACTGAAAGTATCTGACCTTAAGTTTGCCAAGCTCCAACTGGAACATGTTTTGATTTGATGGCTGAACGAAGACGGCGGGGAATAACTTGGTGTTGGGCTCCACCTAAAAAAACAAAAAAAACCCCATCCATTTATTGAGCTTCTCTGAATCAAACCTAGACAATAACAGCTGTCCTATCACACTATACTGACCTGATAGAAAGTGTTTATTTCCTTTCCATTAGCTGTGAAGGTCATAAGACCTGTTGCCAGGTCAACCAGGCAGCCAACCACCATGTCCTCTTGGCTGAAGCGAGTCTGTTGATTGCTGACCAGGTCACCTCCCCATACCATGTAACAGTTGCTATGCTTCATACTGCAATAAGACAACATGTACACTTTTAAGTCAAATGTATGGCAGAGTTTTTCTGCAACTCTACTGTATGTTATTACCGCCCTCATTCTTCTGGTTAGAAAATGCTAACCTGTTGTGTATGTTGCCTTTGTCATCCCCCACAGTAACTGTGACACTGCGCACTTTGGAAAGGTCAAATGATGGATCAAACTGGTGGTAGTCAGGGGTGACCCATCCAATCCACACACCTGAGGGCTCCTGCCCAGCAAAGATCCTCACAGAGTAATAATACTGAAAAATGAAAAGTGAATAAAATGCTACTCTTAGACAAAGTGAAACATCTGTGAAAACATGGTAAAGGAGAAAGAATGGATCATCGGCACAAGTCATTTCTACAAACTTTCATTTCATCATTTATATAAACATAGCATTGGCTCACAGTGGTGGTGTTAAGGATGATCTCAGGGTCATCTCTGTCATCAGGAACCACATCTTCAACCAAACGTGGAACCGTTGGGGGAGGAGGAGGAGCCAATGGTGTCATAGCAGCCTTTTTGGCCTTAGAGAAAAACCTAATGGCGCAGAAGAAAATTATTTACATGATTATGTTTATTATAAAATGCAGCTTATTACTTTTCACCTGCTACACCTACCCTTTCTTTTTTCCCTTTTCAGGCAGCGTGTCCTTTTCATTTTCCACAGAAAGCTCTTTGGGGACAGACGGCTCTTTCTTCTCCTCCTCCTGCTCCTTACGGGTGGCAGATTTTTTCAGTACTTCAAACTCTGAGTCAGGCTCAGTCACCACAACCTCCTCTTCTGGGATGGTGAGCAAACGGGTGAGAGGCGTTGCTCCTGCCTGGATCTTGAAGGTCTCATGGAACTGGACAGGCATGCTTAGTCTGAAGAATATCATGTCTGTGTTGGCATTTTGTGAGCCGAAGGTTCTGTGGGTCAGTTTCAGACAAGGAGCACTGTCCACAGTGCCATCTACACGAGAGACCTAAGGGTAACAACAAATAACAACAACTGACATCTATGAAGAGTTCAGATTAAAGCCATGAAGAGAGAGTTACACAAAATGTTTTCAAATCTTAATAATTACCTCAATGTGATTGTGCTCAGTTGGAACAGGCCCAAACTGAGGTAAACTTTTACTGAACCACATGGTTATGTCTCGCTTCATATTGATGGCAAAAGGTTCAAATCCTTCCTGCAGTCCACAAATGGCAAAGTATCTCAGGCTGCTAACATTTTGTCCAAGATTGATCCGTCCAACCTGAGACAACCCCAGGGCACACACTGGGATAAAACCTAAGAGGGAAAAAAATAATAAGACAATAATAAAGGACAATAGTTTTCAAATAACTGGAAAATATTTTGTGAAAATGTTTTAACTCCTGATATTAGTATTACCTTCTCCAATTTCAATGTCTTTGAAAGCCATCTCTGAGCCAGAGTCACTAATGAGCATTTCACCATTGAGTGTGAACATAATGTTCATCTCCGTGAGGTCAATCATACAACCCACTACATCACCAGACTGCCACTGTCGGCCAAATGGTTCATTGCCAATATGCCATCTTTGAGCCTAGGAAGAGTGCATAAAATACAATATATAAACAATATTTAATGATTATCTTTGAAAAAATTAGCTAACTGCAAAAATAAATGAAAGCAGTTCTGTCAATATTGTTTGCTAAAATCTAAACTTCAAGAGAAATCATTAAATAGAAGCTCACTGACCTTATTGCCATTAAAGACGTATGACAGCTCATCTGCTCCTAGTTCAGTGTCGGAGCGGACATTAGGCCGTGACCATCCCACTCTCATTTCACCTGTGGTCATTGCCTCAAACTCAAAGTACCACTTCCCTTGGGTGACAGCATACGACTTCTCTGCCCTGAAGATTCGTACCTTGTCCCCACGGGTGTTCTCCAGGCCATGGCCACTTGAGCCCACGAAAACTTTTGGAATGATTTGAGGGTTCATTCAACGTGGGCTACAACGGAATTAGAAGACTCACTGCTCTCCTGATCAGGAGGCTCAATGTTGTAGCCATAGCCAATCAGGGTGCGGACAGCATTGTTTACGCTGTCTCGGTTGGTTTTCTTAGTTCTCTCATCCAGCAGGTTGTAAGGTACTAGACGAGGGTTTCGCTTATTGACGATGTCCTAAGAACAATAAGAAAAAAAAACATGGTAAATACATTTAAAAACACATTTGTTACTGCTTTAATATAATGTAGAATTATGAAGGGCTTTAAAAAGGGTAAAAATGTGTATTACCTGCACAATACTGTAGGTCCATCCTTGACGTACCCGGTCCCTTGCCCAAACATTGTGTCCATTTTCTGCCAGCTTTTCTACAAGTTGGTTTTGATTTGGTGTCAGTTTTACATGGTTAAGGTCAAGGGGGGCAGGCTTGTATCCATTGGCCATCACGTAGCTGTAAAAGAAACAAATTGGTCATATATAGATATAGGAAAATAAAATAAAACATTAAATGGACATAAAAAGGTGGTGCAGTACGTCTTGGGCAGCTTGATTTTCTTCAGATTCTCCTCAGCTTTCTCATCACCCATACCCACATGACAACCCAGTGCCAGAAGAGTCCTGCAGAATGGGAACAGGAACAGGGATTAAAACAGGAGAAACAATTATTTCTCTGAAACCTTTACTGAATTACAAACTGACTTCAGAGTCTCTGCAGACATCTGCAGGTTGTAGTTCCTCTCTGGCTCTGGAAGACTCTGGAAGTCCACCAGACAGGGATGGAGTTTCTTGTTGTCATCCCTGAACTGTGACAGAAGGTAACAATAGATGTACTGCTTTGTCAAAACCTAATGTGTTACCTGTGAGTATTTGTGTTAATAAATCTAAATTTTAGATGTAGGAATCTGTGTAAGACTTAATATTTAAACCAATATTTAAAAGATAATGTCAGCCGTTAACTGAACTGTTAACTGCTGACTCCACACTCACAATCCCATACGTCCAGCCCTGCTCAATACGGGTGACAGCCCACAGCTCATGAATGTTCTCAGCCAGCTTCTCCCTAATACGTTCCAAATGAGGTGGTAGCACAATCTAAACAGCAAGCAGAAGACAACAAGAAAAGAAGAAAGAGATAAACAAACAGATAATATTTGAAAGTCTGTCTTTAGGTCCTTACACCTTTACCTGAACTGTGTCCACTTATCCTCAGAGTCTGCCTTTAGGTTCTTACACCTTTACCTGAACTGTGTCCACAGGGCACGGGGTGAATGAAGTGTGGTTGAGGGACAGTGTGGGACCCAACAGGTTTCGCACTCCACTAAAGTCGTGCTTGTACTCCTTGATGGGTTCAATGCGCATCCTGTCTCTGGGCAGCAGGGCCTCATAACAGGGGGCATATCCGGGCGGGGGCATGAACTTAAAGTCCCCATGTCGACCACCGAGCAGAAAACGAGCCCTGAGGCAACAAGGGCAGAGTAAATCTTTATCTACTGTATTTCACCGGGAGTTCTTTATGAACCATTGAAGCACATTATGACAACAGCTGCTTGATGTTTATATGACCCGTAATAAACTGTTTCATTTCCGTGCTACAATCTCATTCCTCAGTTAACATAAAACCCAGATCAACTCTGTCAGGGATCATTAAACACAGCAGTTGTACAGTCTCCCATGACAAAAGGTTTAAATGTGTTGCTTTCTAATTAAATCATACATATGAGTTTAAATACATGAATTAAATTTAAATTATATCTCACAAAGCCAATAAATGTGATTAAACATTTCAAAAATATTTAAATTATTGTTTGCATTATTTATATACAATTATTTGTTTAATTAAAAAACTCCATAATAACTATGAGACCAAGCGCCTGTTTCTGAACATAATGGGTTTGTTGTAGACCTACTTGACCCCAGCAGAGAAGCTGATGACTGGGAAGAAGAGGCCGTCCACGTTGAAGTTCTCAAACATGCCCTGAACAGGGTGACCATTGATACGGAAGGAGATACTGGGCACACTCAGATCCAGACAGCAGCTGACCACGTCGTCAGCAGCAAGGGTGTGTCCAGTTTGAGAGGCCACCTGGCGAGCAATCGTACCTGAATATTAGACCAAAGAACAAAGAGGATTAGATGAAATTTAAATGAATATGTAATTATTAAAGTAACCAAAGTGAGGAGCATGTCCCTACCTGACCACAGATGCTGTCCGTCAAATCCATAAGAGTAGAGATCATCACCAACACCATTTCCTCCCCAGCCTTCTCCTCCTCCAGGGTATGGGCTGTAGCCCTCGGTCATACCCCAGCCCACGCGCAGATGTGTAGCCTGTGCCGTGACAAATGGTTCCACGTAGTCCACCATCATCTCATAGTACCATTTTTTATACTGCGTGGATCCCTCACATGTACCCAGGAAGATGTTGGGTCTTACACTAAATAAAGAAACCATAAGGTACGACATTGTAAAAAAAATCTAATTTAGATAAATATATTTCTTATTTCTATTTTTGTGCACCATTGTTGCATCCAAAACTCTAAATAAAACCTTTTTATGAAGCAAAACACAATTTTAGGACTGTTGTTATTATCATTATTAATAAACTCTACTGTTTTCACCCTCATTATACTTTGTTCCACACTCCACATTAAGCAATATGAATTACCTGGTGACATAATTTACAATGTTGGTCTGTAGTAGTAGTTCACGGCCCGGCAGCAGGTTTTCAGTAATAAGGTTCTGGTTGGACCTCACAGCAACACCATTACACACACACAAAGAGCGCAAGACATCCAGGACCTGAAGCCAGGATCAAGAGAGACAACGGTAACATTTGTATTCACAAATATGACAATGGAGAACCTCTGAGGCTGCCACTAAATTCATTAGGATGTTTAAATCATTCTGCATTTATTAATAAAAGTAATAACTTTGAAAAGCTGGTGCCTAATGCAATCACACCCATGGTCTGGTTTGTACAAACCTTGTGGTTCCTTCCATGTTTGTCCAGCAGAGAAATAATGGATTTTATGTGATTTTCCTGGATAATGTTCAGAACCTCAGGACTTTCAATGAGCACACAGTACAGCACCTCCAAAATACCTTCAAAAAGACAGGTTATTACAATTAAATGTCAAAAATTCTTGGTAGGGATGTGGTTCAATAAAGCTTAATGAATCAACTTGAATTTATATTTTAATAAAGTTATATATTTACATATCTTTTGGACCTTGTATTTGTTTTTGAGCGTATATAACTGTCAACATAGATCTGTGATATGGAAAAAATCCTCTCAAGTGTCTAGGCCTGCTGCTAACAATAAAGAGTCGTTGTAATACCAGAGGAAGCCTCCAGGCGGTCCAGTTTGCTGACCAGCCAGTCCAGGTTGTCGCAGAACAAAGCACAGTTGGAGCGGTTTCCTCTGATTAGAGAAGCTGGAAACACAGAGCAGAGAATACTGATGCTTTGTCAGTTTTTTTTTTTAATATTATTCAGGTAAAGGTGAGTCTTTTACCCAGCAGCTCATAAAGAAGGTTGACAATCTCCTTCCAAGACTCTGCGGCTTCCTCGCCAGCAAATTCGGAGAAATGTGCAGCAGTGTTGTACACGTTCAGACGGTCGATGCACTCCAACACAATGGTAATCATACCCTGAAAATTTAAATGTAATGTTTTAAAAAGTAATATCATAAAGGATAAATCATTTAAAAAATGTGTATGCATTATATACATTGATATAGAATGTTCTTGAATAAAATGACTCAGGTGAACAATTTGGATGGTTGTGTATAAAATGTCACTAGTTAGTAAGGAGTACAGGGTTGTAAAGGAAGGTGGTACATTACCTCCTCTTGAAAGAGGTTCTGCCGGTTGCGAAGGGAACGGAGCTTGGTCTGTTTCTCCTCGTGCTCCAGTTCCTCCTCAGGTGGACGGAAGTAAAAGATGAGATCTTGAAGAGAGAGAATGACGGCATCCAGAGGGAGTGACGCAGCCCCTGACTTGTTTTTTGCACTCAGAGAATCCAGACCCCTAAAATAATCATGAAAAAAAAATGTAATTTTTTAACCCCTTTTCATTGCTCCACCTTTAAATACAGTCATAAACATTTGGCAGAATTATTCAAAATGACAGACAAGTTATATTCATGCAGTTATTGTTTCTCTCCCAAACTTTACAAATTTACCATCCATTATTCACTGCTTCCTCCAAAACAATTTTAATGATGTATTTTAACATGCAGTTAACTTAACAATGGGCTACGGCTTATACAAAGTGTAGCTTTATTTCCATGAAATACTCTACTTACTTGATGAACTGCCTGAAAAGGCCTGTAGTGCTGTAAATCATTCGAGCAGCCTGAGACTCTTCACTCTGAGAGCGAGACACAGTTAAGGCGTCATCCATATGACCTTCCTGGTGCAGCATGACCTGAAAATACAGACAACACAATTATATGGGATGACATTGTTTGTCATTGTTGATCTCACATAGAGTACACCAGTTCGTACAAAACACCAGCAAATGAGGATCATAATTACTTAGAAGCAGTAACAGTGAATAACATAATGCATCTCTATTCATTTTTTTACCTTTCTCTTCATCATTCCCAAACGAGCAGCTTTGGCATCCAGTGCTGCATATGTGAGCCACAGACCAGTGGACACATGCTGGACAAAGCACATGGACTCTCCATACTTTATTTCTGGGATGCCCATGCCCTCAACATCACGCTTCTGGGCCACGTCCACCTTCTCCTGCTCAGGGAGAAAAGAGGTGTTAGTGGACGACAGGAAGGACACAGCCAGGAAAACGAAAACTGTTTATTCTGACCTTCGAAGCACGGAAGCAGAAAGCAGACAGTTTAGTGTTGGCCTTCTCTGGGTCAACCACCAACAGGCCTTTCTCTTCATCCAGACACAGGTACCGGCCTGTGGTGATGTGGCGAATACGGAAAGACTGACCCCATTTCATGTGGCTACCACTCCAGCTGTCGAGGAGAAAATACAATTCAAAACACTATATTACTGTACTATTTTTCACTATATTTCTTACCCTGTGTTTGAATGCAGAACATGTATATCTAAGTTTCACAGGAGTCTAAATATGTTTGTTTATATTAAAGAGATATTTTCTTTTTAATAACCTGATTCTGAGGGGCTCCAGTCTCCAGAGAGATCGAGCCTGACTGCAAACAGCACCGCCTTCATAATGAGCCATCCTGTAACAAATTATGGTTTATGGCAAACTACTGAAAAAACATTTACAGTTTTTTCATGTTTTTGTCTATATTTTTTAGGTTACCTGCGTTTTTCCTCTCCTTCTTCTGGTGTAGAGATGGCTAGACACTCGTCCATGTGACCGTGGAAGAGCCTTAGAACATGACCTCCTGTCAAAAAACCTACAGAGGGAGAAATACAGACCACATGAGTGCATGCCTTCAGTGCGTAAACTAGTTTTAAACTGAAATGTGAATTAACTTTAAATTTAACTATTGACAACAAAAAGCCATATTCAGTGTAGTGTACAGATGGACCCAAAGAACAGTAGATGAAGCAGTTTTTTACCTTCAGCAAGTTCACACCCAGAACTGATCGGGTTCATGTTCCACAGTGTCTGCATGAAGGAGGCATCCACCATCAGGTCTCCACTGGCATAGGAGAGGTGCTAAGAACAGATGCAAAAAATAGCGTGAGAAAATACTTTACTTAACAGAGAGTGCAATGTCTCTTCAACAGACTGATTCTTACCAGGTATCTCTCTGAGGAAACACTGACCAGAATGAGGTCATCACCCACCCTGACCTTCTCACCTTCTGACCTTTGCTTAGAGGCTGGATGAATTGTCCACCAGCATGCTTCACCTGCAGGAAGAGTAAAAACAAAATAAAAAATGAATTAAAATAAACTAAACACAACAAATAAAATAAACCCTCTCTATTTTGACTGTCACATAACACTGACTCAAAGCCTCTTTAACACAAAAGTCTAAATTAGTCTAGAGATTTTCCATAGATCTTTCCCAACATTTCAAAAGAAGGATAGAGTTTATATTTAAATAATAACATTTTTGAGTTCTATTATGAGCTCAAAGAGATTTGCCAGGTTGGCCATTACCAATGGAATCCTCTTGTAAGCCCACGTCGAAGGCCAGCTTGTCCGTGAGAGAGCGAGATGTTGTCAAACAGCTCAGGTACTGAAGAAAAAGGGTTGTATTTATTATGTGCCCAGTTAGGGTTGAAGGTAGTAAATAAATATGGTGGAACTGGCCTGTCTTACCATTCCTGAGTGGTGATGTCTCAGAAGGATGGCATGCCCGTACAGCAGTGTACGATGACCTCCTCCTTGAGAAGACTGAAAAGTGAAGTCAGACGATTAATAAGACTAAACACCATTACATTTACACTCCAATAGGTACTGTACACTGGTCTCGCCACAGCGGGACTGATAAAATATCTTCTTTTGTTTTATTAAAACACAAAAGACACCAAGAAAACACATTCTTATACCACCTGTAAACCACAATCTGAAGAACATGAATAACAACAAAGGTTCGATATTACGGAATGCATCGTAATTTTTGATGGTTAAGTCGTCATAACACACTGGAAAGGTGATATGGTAACTCTATATGTGTGTAGTTAAGGTGAGGATTTGGTTAATTTAAACGTTAGGTTATAAACATTTTAATGTGGTAGTTGATGGTTATATTATTAATAACAGGCCCTGACAAAAATAATTGTACAAGTGTGTGCATGTAATGGTGTCTGCACTTTAAGAGGGAACTTGGCTAAAGCTCTGGGGGTATCTGGTTTCCCCACCTACCTCGGACAGAGGTGGGGGGACCCTCCACTGGGCTGCATGCCATGCTATTCTCATCCCCTGCAACATCTTCCTACTTATCTGAAGCCAAGAACTGTACAACTTTGTATGTTGCCTTTTTATTGTTTACATCTACAAACATTGTTCCAGTGACAATTTATACATATATGAAAGGAAATAAAACACCGATCAAGTCAACACTGGATTCTCTTTAAAAAATGTCACATTGACAGCACCAGATGTTTCACAGGACATCCAAAGGACAACAGGACAGAGATGAGGACAAGCTGTAGATTTAACAAACATTACAGGAAAACAAACTGTGGCAAGTGACATACCCATTTGTCCAAATCAACTGTCTGCTTGGATGCAAGCATTAAGGGAAGGGAAGGAGTGTCACATAGGAAGAATAAATATATATATATATATATGTATATATAATAAAAACAAATAGGAAGAAGGATTCCTCTTTTGTTTAGAGTTGGTGACTATCTAATATTGGATTTAAAAATTAAAAAAAATCATTCGTATATGTGTAATTAGATTGTTGCATATAAAAAAGATTAGAATTGATACCAAAAGATTAACAGATTTTTGGGGATCTCAGAGATTGTAAAAATAAAAGAATCTAACACTTAAACAGAGGACTATACTTAATAATCAAGCATTGTTTCAAAAGGAAAATACATTATTTAAAAAAGCAGCCAAACAATAAAAAAGCTACAATATGGAACCAACTTTTGGTTCTTTTTCACCTTATCGATTCCCTTTTTTACTCTCCTACCTCTGTCATCTCTACTCTGTTGGCCAGCATCTCCTGCAGAGCACGGACTGACAGGGACTGCTCCAGAATGAAGGAACAAATGGCCAGATCTGGGGGCACACTCTGCAGACAGAGGGACAGAAAGTTACTGAGGATAAAAGTCAATGCACAAAACAAAAGACAGGGGAGAAGGCTGTGAGCTTCGTACCTGAGCGTTGGATGTGGTTTCCAGGAAACAGAGACGGTTCCCGAAGCCCTCGCAGGACAGACATAACTTGATCTGCTCCCCCTTAAGGACGGAGGCAGTGCACTGGAGAACAACCTGGTCATCCTGCATAAAGTATCAATACAAACAAATGTGTGAGGAAAAAATGTTTTCACTGGCTTTTTAGTGGCGACTCACAAACTTAACTTTGAAAGAACGTTATTTTCTGCCTGTAGGTCCTACACTAATGAAAGTGGCCAGACATACCTTGACAGTTTAGTGACACTATGAACTCTATATTGATTAGACAAACATTGCTTTTATTGGTTAACAAACTTAACAAATACAACATCTCCATACAACCGAAGTACTCAAGGAATGAAGCAATGACGTAGTTTTAATATATTAATAGTATTAATATCCCAACAAATGACATTTTCAGGGAATGAAGCAATGACGTCGTTTTAAATTAATATCCCAACAAATGACATTTTCATCTACTTATCAGCCATACTTCCATGCATAATAATTTGCTCACAATTCATATTGTGATTAACAATTACAATAGGTTCAATTAGGAAGTCATCAGGTTTTGTTGGAAAATGAACAGCAGAAATAAAAACTGTCAGAACTGCTGACAGAGCCTGCTAAACCATACCAGACACTGTGGCACATACACATTTAGTTTATGACTCAAGCACAATGCTAACAGACACTAATTTGTTGCTCCTTATCAATGTCTGAGTCCTCCAGAGACCGGTGTAAATGCAGCAATAAACACTCCCTCCCCTGTGAAACCCACACCTGACTCTCAACATTCTCAGCTGCTGCCTCCACTCAGCCATAATCCAAGAGAAGCCATCACTTAACCTGACTGATTTCCCCCTCTATACCCCTGGACACGTTTCTGACTTTTCTCCAATTTTGTCTCACAGCTGTGTGGATTAAACTGGCATCATTTTTGTGCCCCATTCGCCCTAATGATTTTCACATCAATGCTAAATGGGTCACTGTGTTTGAGCCATTTTAAGTGAGGTCAGGGCTAATGCAAGAGGTTACACTATCTATGGGAAATACTAATAACACAAGGCAGGGAAATGGAAAGTGTTGCAGAGAGGTGACCTGATAAAGACAGCGACTCCACTTTTAAACCTCTACTGTTTCCTTGGCTTCAGTGTACGTCCTTCCTTCGTCCACTATCATTTGTCTTTCCTCAGCCTAGAAACGTCTCAAAAATGAGAGCGATGTGTCCTCTCTTCTCCACGTTATGTTTCTTTCAAACTATTCGTTTGAATTCAGCTGTAGTATTTATAATGTAAACTACATTCATTACCTGTTTTAAAAAAAATCATTTGTTTGTGCAACGCACATTATAGATGTTAGTAAAAAACAAAAAAACAAGATTATGCCTATGCCTATTGGCTCCAGTAGTCACATCTCCTGCAATCATGTAAAGAACTTAAACTTAAATGATGCAGAACTGTCATTTGAAAACCCATAAAGAAGTCGGTTGTTGGTGTAGGGTATCACTTTAGTTTGTGTATCTAAAAAGCACAGAGTTTTTGTCTCACTGCATTGTAGTAGTAGTATTGTGTAGACTCCTGTAAAGTAAAGAATGAACAACAGTGAAAAACAGTGCCCAACAAAACAACACTCATCCTAAAGGTCATTAAAAACTAATGCCCCATTCTGTATCTGCTGAAATCTTGTTTATGAATGCGTCGACCCGGCACCTTTAAATGTGAAAGCACTCAGAGAAATGAACTCTCTGAATTGCATTTGCAACTGCAGAACTATGTCCTTCACAGTGTTTGACACTGTGTGAATGGCCTCCAATAAGATCACATGAAAATCTCACACACACACAGCACACACATCTATGGGCTTGACTCATCCTTTTAATAATAAGGAAGGATTTCAATAATGTGCTAAGCCTTAATGTCAGACAAACAAACAACACCTGATTATGTGTTAATCTTAAATAAGTACATTTGATGGAGTAAAGACAGATAGACTACATCGAGTGAGATCCAGGAGGTGATGAAACACACCGCTCTGACTCACCGCAGTTATTTCCTACTGTGTGGATCGATTGTTGTGGATCAAACTAATTTGATGGGTGATAAGTGTAGAATTTCACATAAACCATTTTTGGACCAGGCTGCTGAAGCATGTGGGCAATGTGGATGCTTGGGGTCAGATGATGCGGTAGAGACAATTAGACATAACGTGACAGACACATAAACAAACAGGCTGGTGTGTGAAAATGGTGGCATACAACTGGGTATAGATAGCACTTGAATAAATACATCTTTGTATATTCTCTGATGAGGCATTTGCAGACAGAGTAGGATTTACCAGACAAGTAGGCTCAATGCCCAGCACAGGGGGCAGGGATGACAACAGATGGAGAAGGTTAAAGGTTCAGCTGCACAGTGTAACAACGAATTATAGTGACTGTATCTATTACAGTTACATTTTTTGTTTATCTATGTAGTGACATTTAAATTTATGAAGAATTTCTTTCAGAAACAGAAGTGAAGAAGAGGTTCCCTGTAACAGTTATACCATATTCCTATACTATATATAAGTGGCATTCTTCTCAAGCCATATATGTCACACTCTTACTACAGCCTTGAAGAACATGCTTTGTTAGTAGCTGTATTTTCAAAAAGCAAACTGAAGAAAAGAGTCCTCCACCATCGACTCTGGCTACTGGAGCACGTTCATCTCCCCTTCTAACAGATATGACGTAACTGTCTGTAACCTCATGCCAATTGACAAGGCAACTATTATAAAACCTATTAGTTGTTTTTTATTTGACTTCATAATTTTCTCACAGGAAAACTGTCCAGTAATCAAATCTACTACTGAATGATAAGTATTTATTATTCATATTTTTTTTCAGTGACAGATTTCTGCTAGGTTTCTTATGCAAATTGTGCTGATGCAGACTTGAACCAAGATTAATTATATTTCTGTGGCAATAAAAAAAAACTGAGGGACAGCACATTGAGTGGGACGTGGGTGGCGGAGATGAACGGATCAATAATGGGGAGGGGTAAAAGGTGATAGGACTTTCCCTTGAAAAATAAAGGAGAGGAAGGAGTGTGCTACGGAGCATGTTCCGTCAGACACTGCAGCACCATGGGTGGTAGAGTGGACGTGGTAGTATGCAAGTATAAAATCCAGGATTAACTGTGCTTAGCTGACACTCTATGGGAACTGACAGTTGTATGGAATCAAATGATAAAGTCATTCGGCCATTCATCTTCTCTACTGCCTTTTCTTTTCAGGGTTGTCGGGGAGGAGGAGCAAATCATAGTCAATGGGCTTGCAGGGGATGTAGAACCTGAACAGTTTGAGTCCATCACAGGGACACATTCACTGTCAAACCTAGAGTCAATTCAAAGTAATCTTTTAACCAGATCTGTGTGTTTGGGAGGGAACTGGAACACATGGAAAAACACATACACACAAAGGGAGAACATGAAAACTCCATGAAGAATCACATACAGAATGTCATCATAAATGTTACTGTTCTCCTATGTTGTACCAGTGTAACACACTAGGCATAACAATTCTGTTCATAGATTTGTTATAGCCTGAGTGAGGGAAGTTACATGTAGTTGGTTTACAACACAGTACACATAATAGAAATATATTTATGGACCATGTATTTCACCTTATAACAACTACTTTTTTACTTCCCCAGTTAAGGGCTTAGAATAAGGGTTTAGAAATATTTATATTTATTATTGAACTATTATTCAAATCTGTCTTAAATAGCAGTATACTTCTTTATCTGACTGTGTTTGTACCGAAACCTTCGGTCTGAGCTAATAATAATGATATGAAACGAATCACTGAGTGTCAATATAATGGTATTCCTCTTCGCTAAATTAGACTCATCATTTGCCTGACTCACCACAGTGTGAATAAATAAAGATTTATTTCTGGACACGTCATAGGGTGATTCTTCAAGCAACTTAGAAAGACTTCACACAGTCTTAGCTCTTCAAACATTGTTAAGTGAAGTTTGACTGAGTTTGACTGACTTAATATTACACCAAATAACCTTTAAATACTGAGCTTAGAAAAAAACAGTTTGATTATAACAACCTTAATGTATCTAGGGCAGAGGATTATTTGATTTAGCTTTGGCAACACAACATAAGCTTAAAATAAATCTCAGAGAATCTTAGATCATTTTTTATTCTGTCAATGATCTCAGTTTGGTGGTTCATGTAGGAGCAATATTAAAGATAAAAGCCAATGTAAACTGACAGTGATGCGTCAAACGAGGACGGGGCATTTTAATTATTTAAGACACATTATACGGAAACAGGCGTCAGACTCCTGACCTTTACACAGTGACACGGGATGTTATGATCGTATCTGCACTTCAACATGAATGACTTGGATGAATCCATTTACCGAAAACTATTTTTGCACAAACATTTAGAAGCATTGCATTTATAACTTAAACTGATTATCAGGTAATTGACATCAGAAGATTCAGGACTTTTTGTCTTGACTTTTTTTAGGGTGGCCTCACAAATTAAACCTTATTATTTCATTGCTGTCTGTTTTCTCTCCCTCTTTCCATTGCCTCCAGTGCTCTACTCTGGGCCTTCCCCCTCCACTTCTCTCCTATTTTGGGTGGCTGCACCTGTCACTATCACATTCCCTCTTTCTGCTGACCAGCAGATACTTTAAGATCTCACTCGGTGGCAGAGTCTCTTGCTAACACAGAAGGCACTTAGTGCAGGGAAACTAGCTGAAATCCTCTGAGGAGCAAATAGCTAAAGCATCCACTCCAAACTGTGAAAAATCAGGTGACTTGTTTTTAATGGTTACTATACTGGATTAAACCAGTTATATCGCCACTGACTGTGGTTCATGAGCAACAAATGTTCCCTTTTGTCTGATGTTATGTTTCTTGTGCTGTTGATGTGAACTAAAGTCAAATATCAATGACAATATCAGCTGAACCTGCCTTTCTGCTCGAGTGAAAACATGGCACAGAGAAACTATTTTAATTCAAAACAATTACAATGATGTAAAACAGGGAACAAATTACAGTTTAACCAGTTACATAGGGGCCAGAAAATGAATGGAATGAC